CCCTCATCAGGTCTCCTGTCTGCTGATTGGTCAGCCGATGGTCAGCTAATTCCCCCTGGGAGCGGTCAGTATGGGGCAAACAGAACCGGTGTGTGTGTGGAGCAGATGGGGGGGGGTGCCGGGTGGAGCAGCGCCTGGCTGTGAAACAGCGGGGGGGCGGCGGGCGTGAGGGGGAAGGCGGGCATGGTTGCCATGGCAGCGGCGGCGGCGGCGGCAGAAAGATGGCGCTGCAGCAGACAGGAGGCCAGAGGTTTGCTCAGGTCCTGGCTCTTTCTGAGGGTCAGACGTATCTGGGGGGGGTACACACAAACAGCCTGTTGTAGTCCAGGAAACAACCCCCCCCCACACACACACAAACACACACACACACACACACCACACACACACTAGGGTTGTCACGATACTAAAATTTTCAACTCGATACCGATACTCAGGAAAATACTCGATACTCGATACCATTTTCGATACCACAGATTAAAAAAAGACCCCAAAATTTTAATGAATTTTGACAGGTTAGTGTCTTTCATTTCAAACTGACTTGTTACTGATGTTATTGTGGCTGGTGGCCCACATTAATAACCCTAACCCTAACCCAAACCCTGACCCTGACCCTCCAGCCTTCATAATTGTGAGAAATAAATATTTTTTGGTTAAACTTGTTTGGACTTATTGTACAAACCTATTTAACATACACTATTTTAACATAATATTATGTATAGAGTTTAATTAAGTGTTTGAAAGATTAATTTCACAATTTTTAAATGAATCTCTATATTGCCATGAGGCAATTAGGATTTTCTTGCCTGGAATCTTCCTATTGTTAATGTAACTATAATGGCCGACTTCGATGTGGGCGGAGTCGGATATGTACTTGATTAATGGTAGCACGTTATTATTAGCCATTAGCCGAAGCTAGCAGTTCAAGGCTAACAACTTGTTAATGACCATAAACAACGTAAATAAATATATAAATAAATCAGAGAGAAGGGGCTCGCGCGGTGGTATCGATACTTTTGAAAATGAGTATCGTATCCGGATACAACATTTTAGTATCGATACTTTTTTGGGTATCGATACTTTTGGCAATCCTAACACACACACACACACACACACACACACACACGGAGAGAGAGAGGAGACTCACGGCCTGCTGGGGGGGGGCGTAGGGGCTGAACTTGGGTTTGGCCGGTTTGCCCGCCGCGCGGTCCTTATGTCTCCGGCTGCTGATGTGCTGCAGACCAGAGGGAAATCACCGTTATCAGACAGAAAAACAACTGTAGAGACACTCAGAGGGACGGGAAAAAGAGGAGGGAAAAAGAGACTAAATGAGACTAAAGAGGAGGGCAAAAGAGACTAAAGAGGAGGGCAAAAGAGACAAAAGAGGAGGGCAAAAGAGATACAAAAGGAGGGAAAAAGAGACTAAAGAGGAGGGCAAAAGACACTAAAGAAGAGGGGAAAAGACACTAAAGAAGAGGGCAAAAGAGACTAAAGAGGAGGGCAAAAAAGGAAGGCAAAAGAGAGTAAAGAGGTGGGCAAAAGAGACTAAAGAGGAGGGCAAAAGAGACTAAAGAGGAGGGCAAAATAGACTAAAGAGGAGGGTAAAAGAGACGAAAGATGAGGGCAAAAGAGACAAAAGAGGAGGGCAAAAGAGGAAGGCAAAAGAGAGTAAAGAGGAGGGCAAAAGAAGAGGGCAAAAGAGACTAAAGAGGAGGGCAAAAGAAGAGAGCAAAAGAGACTAAAGAGGAGGGCAAAAGAAGAGGGCAAAAGAGACTAAAGAGGAGGGCAAAAGAAGAGGGCAAAAGAGACTAAAGAGGAGGGCAAAAGAGACAAAAAGAGGAGGGCAAAAGAGACTAAAGAGGAGGGCAAAAGAGACTAAAGAGGAGGGCAAAAGAGACAAAAAAGAGGAGGGCAAAAGAGACTAAAGAGGAGGGCAAAAGAGACTAAAGAGGAGGGCAAAAGAGAGTAAAGAGGAGGACAAAAGAGACTAAAGAGGAGGGGAAAAGAGACTAAAGAGGATGGCAAAAGAAGAGGGCAAAAGAGACTAAAGAGGAGGGCAAAAGAGAGTAAAGAGGAGGGCAAAAGATACTAAAGAGGAGGGCAAAAGATACTAAAGAGGAGGGCAAAAGAGACTAAAGAGGAGGGAAAAAGAGACTAAAGAGGAGGGCAAAAGAAACTAAAGAGGAGGGTAAAAGAGACAAAAAAGGAGGGCAAAAGAGACTAAAGACGAAGACAAAAGAGAGTAAAGAAGAGGGCAAAAGACACTAAAGAGGAGGGTAAAAGAGACAAAAAAGGAGGGCAAAAGAGACTAAAGACGAAGACAAAAGAGAGTAAAGAAGAGGGCAAAAGAGACTAAAGAGGAGGGCAAAAGAGACTAAAAAAGGAGTGTAAAAGAGGAGGGCAAAAGAGACAAAAGAGGAGGGCAAAATGACCTTTTTTCTGGTGAGTTTGGATAGTTTGTTAGCACAGAAAAATGCCATCAGACTTCCCGTTTTGACGTTTGAAGCAGAATGCTTGTAAACTCTTGGCTCTGACTTTCAGATTCCAAATATTCATGAGGGGCGGGTTTGGATCTCTGTTTGATTTGATTGACCAGCGCGAGCAGATGGCTCTGGCCAGCACGGCGCCCAATCAGCACGGGCGGATGAATATTCATGAGCACCTGGCCAGAGTTAACTTCCGAACAATTAGGTGTGAAGGCCAACATTACGCATTCACATCCTGAGTGGTGGCCATTCAAAAGCTGTGTTCTCCACCCACAGAATGAGGAACGCTATCATCCCAGCGTGCAAGCGTTTGAGTGGGTGAGCTTAAATTGTTCGAGTCTACTTTTTTTTTTTTGTTTTACAGATTCTAAAGACAAAAAAATAAACATATTTTTGCAGGTTTTTACTGCAGCAGACAAAAACAGACAAGACTTTCAGGGTTTGAGTTTGTGGGCCTCAAAGCCTGAAAAGGTCCCAGAATAATCCAGAATCACACCAGGAGCAATAAGACATCAACTAAGCATCATCTCTGGTCACAAAGTACATTTAACCAAACATTTGTGAAGCTAAATAATTACAGGAAGTGAATATTTATCAAAACTGATGTTCGTATACACAGTGGGGGAAATAAGTATTTGACCCCTTGCTGATTTTGCAGGTTTGCCCACTTACAAAGAATGCAAGGATCTATAACTTTAATCATATTTACATTCTAACAGTGAAAGACAGAATCCCAAAGAAAATTCCAGAAAATCACATCATATGAATTTATAAAAACTGATAACCATCTGATGAGGAAAAATAAGCATTCTTTGTAAGTGGGCAAACCTGCAAAATCAGCAAGGGATCAAATACTTATTTCCCCCACTGTATAGATATTGTGATGAGGCCGAACCTGCTTGAGCTGCGTCTCAGAGTTGACGTGCACGTCGCAGATCTCACAAAAGAAAGTTTTGTTCTGGAGTCCGGTCGATGGCTCGGAGGGGGCCAACGTTTTGGCTTTCACCCCCATTCTTGGGAAGGACTTTATGGCTCCGTCTCCGCTCCTTGCCTCCAGCATCGTTTTGTGCTTGGTCCCTGCAAACACATTGCAGAGGGGGGGTCACACACACACACACAGGGGGGTCCGTGTGTGTGACTAGGGATGGGGATCGTTAATATTTATTGATATCGATACCTTTATCGATACTCCTTATCGATCCGAGTCTTTATCGATACCACTGTCGATACTTTTCTGTTATTTGGTGGAAAGACGATGCGACAATATTTAACAAATAAATAATTGTTTAAATTAAATGTAATTTTTAATAAATGTTGGCATCAGTATTTTAATTATATATTCTAAAATAATTAGAGCAATATACAACTGTATCACTCATGTTTCTCGCCAAAAACTAATTTCCCTTTTTTTTTACGTTACACTTGAACGCATCATGATAACCTAATTGTCGTTTTACTGAGCCAATCTGAACACATCATCACGCAGCACGTCTGAAACTTTATTTACTTTTCAAGCTAACTAGCTTGTATGCTGCCGATTACAACACGGATTTCACAATTAATTCAATTCAATTCAATTTTATTTATATAGCGCCACATCACAACAACAGTTGTCTCACAGCGCTTTCCAAACAGAGCAGGTCAGACCCTACTCTGAAATTAATTACAGAAACCAAACAATTCCCACCATGAGCAAGCACTAGGCGACACAGGCAAGGAAAAACTTCCTTTTAACAGGCAGAAACTTGGAGCAGAACCATGGCTCAGGGTGGGCGGCCATCTGCCTCGGCCGGTTGGGGGCAAGAAGGACAGAGGGAGCAGAGAGAGGCAGCCTACACAGCAACACATAGACTAGATAAAAATGGCAATGATATTAATACTATCTATTACTATTGTAATGATAAAAAAAACGACCAGACTCGATAGTGGTATCGATAATAAGCCCAAACGTTATTGATTTTTGGGTTTTGAAAAAAGTGGAACCGGGTCCTTGATAGAACCGGGTCTGGATCCCCATCCCTGTGTGTGACCCCGACAGGGCCTCACCGCTGTTGTGGGCCTGGAGCTGGGAGGCTGAGTTCACGGCCACTTTGCAGAGCGAGCAGTACAGGAGTCGCACGGCTTTCTCCTCCTCCGTCTCGTCCTCCTTCTCCTTTCCTTTCTCCGCCGACCCCGGGCTGACCGGCAGGGAGAAGTCCGACCGCTCTTTGGGGGCCTCGGAGGGCTCTGAGATGGACAGGGCGGACGGCTCTGAAATGAAGGAAAAAGGAAGATCAAGATACAAAAAGAGAAAAGATGAGGAGAGAATAGGGTTGTCACAATACTAAAATGTTCAACTCGATACCGATACTCAGGAAAATACTCGATACCATTTTCGATACCACAAGGATAAAAACAAAGACCCCAAAATTTTACTGAATTTTGACAGGTTAGTGTCTTTGGTTTCAAACTGACCTGTTACTGATGTTATGGTGGCCCACATTAATGACCCTAAACCTAACCCTAACCCTAACCCTCCACCCTTCATAGATGTGAAAAATAAACGTTTTTTGGTTAAACTTGTTTGGACTTATTGTACAAACCTATTTAACATACACTATTTTAATATGATATTATGTATAGAGTTTAAATTTGCAACTTTTTTGAGTATCGATACTTTTGACAACCCTACGAGAGAGAAAGAAACATGTCCGATTTGTAAGCTGATACAGAGACACACAATCTGCCCTCCCAAAGAGCCGGTCCTCCTCAGGTGCCCCGACCTCTTAACCTGGACCAATTTCATCTAGACAATCTGCTCTGAAGGGCTCCGTGACCTACATGCTAGTCTGACAGAAAAACCGAGAGCCAAGAATTTGTTGAATGATTTAGCAGAGCCTCCGACAACAGCGAGCGCACAGAGAGGTTATCTTGGCAAAGACACCTGAGTCTGGGGGAGCCCGGAGTGGAGCCGCTTTCTGAGCAGCCAATCAGACCTCAGACTTGGAGATGCTAGCTCTCGTTTGGCAGGAAGGAGGAAAAAAAAGCCATGAAAAAGCTGGGGGTCGCTGTGCCAACGAGGCTACATCATCCACATCCCGCCGTGCGATCAACGAACCGGAGAGCGGTTCCATCATTTACTGATAGAGTTAAAAAAAAACTCTGTCAGTAAAAATCAGGAGCAGAATCGTGGACACAAAGCGGCTCCGGCGGAGTTCATCACCCTCCGAACCGTACCAAAGCTCCGCGGATCGAAGGGGAAACGTTTTTCCAATTCTTTCCATAAACTCCTCCTCTCATGGAAGCACCGACCTGATCAATCCTTTTTTATCACCAGACAAAGACACTCGGATCTGGATCTCTGGATCTCTTGTCTTTTCTGAGACTAACTTACTCCTGTAGGAGCACACCCCGATTTCAGGGTTCTCTCTTTGCTGATAACAACAATTAGCTGTTCCACACTGAGTCCGATTGGCTCCACTGACCCTGTGATGGTGATCTTCAGGAGAGCTTTCATTAATTTCCGTGAAACGAACCCCGAACTGAAACCGATCATTCGTTTTAAAACAGAAAACAAACTCAAATCAGTGGTGTCGGGCACACAGAAAAGAGGCAGACCGGGACTAAGTAATGCGCACAGTCATGTTGGACAGCAGTCGGCGCTTTGACCTCCACACCGGCATGCCTCCACACAGACACACACACACACACACACACACACACACACACACACACACACACACACACACACACACACACACTCCCGGTGTGAAGACGCTCCCACGCGCGCCCTGTACAGCGGCCCACAGATCACATTCAAAGCCTTTTTTCTGTGCGCTTTTGATCTCAGGAGGCCGCTGAATGAGGTCAGAAGACGTAGACACAAAGATAAAGCTCCACCTTTAATCTCCGGGCTGAGGAAAACCCGGCGCGGCAGGAGGGGGATCACATCAAAGAGTTAAAGTCGTGACTGGGGAAAAAGAGGGAGCGATGTAGCTTCATATATCTAACACTGTCATGCATCTGGGTGCTCACACACACACATACGTGTTTTCATTATATACAAGGACACATGACAGAAATAGGACAAATGTTTAGGTGGCTTTCCAAAGGTTCTTAGGACAATAGAGATATTTGGTTTAGATGTATTTTGGGGCTTCTAGAACACTTTAGTGTGCTCAAAAAAATGAGGACATGAAAAGTGTCCTCATATTTCTACGCGTCCTGATATTGAAGGTGTGTATTCACAAAAGTGTCCTGATATATCATGAAAACAAACACACACACACACACACACACACACACACACACACACACACACATACGTGTTTTCCTTATATAAAAGGACACATGACAGAAATAGGACAAATGTTTAGGTGGCTTTCCAAAGGTTCTTAGGACAATAGAGATATTTGGTTTAAAGGTATTTTGGGGCTTCTAGAACACTCTAGTATGCTCAGAAAAATGAGGACATGAAAAGTGTCTTCACATTTCTACGCGTCCTGATATTGAAGGTGTGTATTCACAAAGAGGTCCTGAAATATGAAAACAAACACACACACACACACAGATATAGGCGGGGAGAGCCTGCAGAGACACACCTTCTGATGTTGTTTCGGCTTGCAAACGGGGCGAGGAGAGGATCTGTGATGCGGTTTCCTTGGCGACCGGTTCAGAGGTCCTGGTCTTTGAATCGGGGGGGTCCAGAGCCTTCAGCCTCTTGGCGTGCCTCGTGCCACTGTAGTGGGACGAGGCCTGAGCCTGTGGGACGGCAAACAAGGAGTAAACCAAATATGGATGAACACACAAATTATATACTTATACTTATTTACTTGTTTGTCTTATGTAAAAAAATAAATAAATAAATAAGGAAATGTAGCAGTTTCAGCAGCATCTGTATACAGTCGTTCAGCTCATGTTTAAAGAAGAAGAAGAAGAAGAAGAGTAATGGCAAAGCGTAGCAGTTCTGGGAATAACTAGTTTTTTCATTCTCAATTATTTTAAGCGGTCAAATTATCCAGGCGTTTCCCATTCATCCGGTTATCACGTGAGACAGCTCATCCCTCCGAGAACCAGTCGAACGGACCAAAATAAAGGGCAGGTCTCCTCAGCCGTGCCAAGAAAAAGGGCGTGTGTGTGTGTGAAAAAGCGTGAGAAATCAAAAGAGAACAGTTCAAAGCCTGCGTTCTCCCGCCCACCTCGGAGTTGAACCTCAGCCGACAGACGGCGCAGGAAGTGGCCTTCCTCTTCAGGGGCGAGCTCAGCCCCAAACCGGGGCTGATCAGGGCTTTGTGGATGCGATCCATCTGCAGCAAAAGGGAAAAGTGCAACGCTAAGGTCATGATTTGTGTCGCACTGTGTGAGAAAAGAGCGAAAAAGCTGTGACAATCATCTCTGCCAGTCTCAGCATGCAAAGTAGAACATGAACACGAACCCTGAACCCTGACCCTTAACCCTATAATGCCAAATGTGTCATATTTGATTCATACGGTTTCTAAAGTCTTTTGGATCTGAGACTTTTTGCATCATTCAGTGGTAAAAGCTTTGCTCAAACCCCTGTTGTACAGTTTCAGTTTTTTTCTTCAGATGTTGTTGAGGGGCAAAAGAAAGACTTCAGACTAAAAAAATCCAATATTCTTCCTATTTTTCTTGGATCAGGCTTTAAGTGGTTACATGACATGTTTTGAGCATGGATAGATTCTCTTTTAAAATGAATCCTGAGCTACATGCACAGCCGTGGAAAGCTGCAACTCCACTAAACATATTGCTTCAATTCTGTGGCAGCGTTGTCGTGAGCAAACGCTCCAGAGATCCTGTTGCTTCCAGATTCTTCTGCAGCAGATCAAACATGGAAGCAAAAGCCAATGCAATGTGCACATGTCTGTATCCGAATCGTCATTTTCTCGGATGACAGGACAGAAAAAAAGGAGTTTATTGAAGCAGAGCGGCGGTGTGAACTGGCTGGTTTTCATTCACAGAGCATGACTGGTTCAGGACATCTAACAAAAATAAGTTGAATATGTAAAAAATAAGCAGTTTTATTGATAATAGCTTTGCTGTGTGTAAAAAAAGTTGCAAAATGGGAAACAGATAGAGAAATCCCAGCTAGATTTGATTCAGATTGTGGAGAAATGCTCCTGTCTGGATGTGTTGGTGCAATTTTGGTTGGTTTCCAGTCCGGTTTAGATCTAAAATAAAGTTTTTTCTCGTGTCATGAAGCATTTTGTTAACGAAAGACAGCACAGACGGGTTAAAGTGACTCTCCGATCCCAAAAATATGAGCTTTTTAGGTTTCGCTGCCAGCTCAGAACTGGCAGTCGCAGCTGGGTTTTTAAAACAAGGTGTTATGCATTCACTTCAGCCCAATTTAAAGTGAATCCATTTCCAGGCATTAACATGTTTGCATAAACATCTCATTTACATCTCGTGCTTGATGAGCTCCAAATGCAAATATTTCAGCAAAAAAAAAAAAAAAAAGATGAGATGCCGAGTTTCCGTCACCAGCTGGCAAACAGCACCGAGTCTGTGATTAAAGGTGTAAGAGATTCAGGAGCATTTCAGATGAGATGAAAGGGAACCAGACTAAATCTGAAGTGTTTTAGGCCTGTCGAGGCAGAATATGACCACTGTTTACACCCTTCTTTATTTTCCTTTTCTTCAAAGTCTTTTGGACCGAATGATGCAGCTTCTACCGATGAGAGAAATCTGGATGATCGCATCCAGGAGAATACTCCAAACTGAACCCGTGGTCATTCCTGTTTACAAACACAAGGAGATCTGGTTTCAAAGGCAGCGACTCGCCACCCAAAACCCAGATAAGCTCTATCAGGAGGAAGTGAGCCTCCCTAGAACTGCACCATTAGCAAACACTGCCGTATTCCCGTCTCACTGCTAACCACCAACATGTGTTATACATCCCAAAACGTCAGGAAAACATCCCCCACCAACAAAAAGATCACCAGATGAGTGTCAGCCTCTACACAACCGGCCTTTCACACACATGCTATTAAGCCAATGTGACGTTCGGGTCAATCCTGTGAGATCTAAAACTGGTTTTCACACCAGAATTCGCAAGTAGATGCAATTTTTTAAGCTGTGTGCACCTCTACTATGCACCAAATAAACTAATCTCCTATAGCCAGTGCTGCTAGCCCCTTATTTTGCTCAGGGCCGTGCACACACTTGGAGCTGGCCACACATGCAGAGGTGATTTAATCCAATAATGACCCTATTTTCTCTGGGGCCAACATTGTAGACTACTACAACGGTAATATGTGGCTTTACGCTGTAGCCTGTAGCCTGGGCAGGAATATTGCTGCACAGGAAAGAGAAAGAGAAAGAGAAATGTAACATGAAAACATCAATAGACGGATCACCACTTTAACCAGTTACAGGCTAAACTGTGGAGAAGCTTTAGCAAAACTCTTTCATAGCGCATTTCTGAAAAATCTCCATTTGAAAGGGTCAGTAACCTCATTTTACCTTCTTGTCACTCTGAAGAATATGAAAGAATGCATGACGCCATAGCTCTTGAACAAGCAAAGGAAGGACAGGGATGTAATTAATGGTTCTCCTGGAGTGGAATTTGGGAAAACTTTCAGAGCGCGCAAGTTTTTTTAGGCTTCTTGCTCTGGTCACAGTCTCTAAATCTTCCTCTAATTCGTTAAATGTCCTTAGTAAGTTATCTAGCAGAGACGATTCGAAAACGTCCCATAAAGATACTCTGATTACTTTTCCTTTCTCTCATTAGTGGAGTCCATTTGGACCACCTAGAAAGTCCCACTGACTGCAGCCTCTGTGAGCCATTTTCTACAAACCAGCCGGTTTTTTACAGCCACCCTTTAAAAGCTGCGGGGGACTGGTCCGGGCGTGTTGCACAGAGACTCCATCATGCTTTTTCAGCCTGGCAGTTAGGAATAATTACTCTTTGAAGGAACGGCAAATAAAATGTCCGATGTGTTGCCTAATGTTGAAAACAAATTACTGGTAAATGACTGACAACAATGTAAAACTGTAACTGGTACAGCCAATGAGCTCTATAAGCCTTAACCCTTTAAAGCCTGATCCAAGCAGAAAATTACTTTTTTTTGGTTTGAAGTCTTTGTTTGGCCTTATAACTAAATATGTAAAAAGAAAAACAGAAATACATTTTTAATATTAATCATTTATTACTATGCGATAAGTCAAGATTATTTTTTGTGTAGTCTTCTGCCCCCTGTTATCAGGTGTATCTGATTGTGTAAAATAGGATTTTGAGCAAAGTTTTTACCATTAAATTATGCAAAAGGAAACTGTATGTATCAAATATGTATCAAATATGATATATATAGCATTATAGGGTTAAATATAGATCATAAAGCTCTTTTTGAGAGATGGAGCATGTTTCTTGAACGCCTAAGCTTCAGACGCTTCAAACTGAATCCGTGTGTGTGTGTGTGTGTGTGTGTGTGTGTGTGTGTGTGTGT